CACGAGTTCGAGAGCTGGTTCTACCAGCCGCCGATGCCGCCGCCACCGCCGCCGCCGCCGCCGCCCTCGCCGCCGCCCTCGCCTCCGCCGCCCTCGCGTCGCCGTCGCCGCCGCCCTCGCCGCCGCTCGTCTGCCCGTGCCTCACCGCCTACCCGGCCGGCGTCAACCTCGTGAGCGCCGAGGTGCATGTCGTCGCGGCGGACGGCGTGAGCCTCGCGTACCCCGGCACGTACTGCCTCCACGGGTGCGACCCGCACGACAGCAGGCTCGAGCCGTCCTGCGACTCGACCTGCTACCCCGGCTGGTGCGAGCACGAGTGGTGCTACGTCGACCCGGCCGCGTGCCACACCGAGTACAGCACGACCGCGTACGTGGTGGGCGCCACCCCGCACTACTTGTGCCGTGCGTGCGGCTTCAGCAACGAGTTCGAGAGCTGGTTCTACCAGCCGCCGATGCCGCCGCCACCGCCGCCGCCGCCGCCCTCGGCGCCGCCCTCGCCGCCGGCCTCGCCTCCGCCGCCCTCGCGTCGCCGTCGCCGCCGCCCTCGCCGCCGCTCGTCTGCCCGTGCCTCACCGCCTACCCGGCCGGCGTCAACCTCGTGAGCGCCGAGGTGCATGTCGTCGCGGCGGACGGCGTGAGCCTCGCGTACCCCGGCACGTACTGCCTCCACGGGTGCGACCCGCACGACAGCAGGCTCGAGCCGTCCTGCGACTCGACCTGCTACCCCGGCTGGTGCGAGCACGAGTGGTGCTACGTCGACCCGGCCGCGTGCAACGCCGAGTACAGCACGACCGCGTACGTGGTGGGCGCCACCCCGCACTACTTGTGCCGTGCGTGCGGCTTCAGCAACGAGTTCGAGAGCTGGTTCTACCAGCCGCCGATGCCGCCGCCGCCGCCGCCGCCGCCGCCCTCGCCGCCGCCCTCGCCTCCGCCGCCCTCGCGTCGCCGTCGCCGCCGCCCTCGCCGCCGCTCGTCTGCCCGTGCCTCATGCCGTGCCTCACCGCCTACCCGGCCGGCGTCAGCCTCGTGAGCGCCGAGGTGCATGTCGTCGCGGCGGACGGCGTGAGCCTCGCGTACCCCGGCACGTACTGCCTCCACGGGTGCGACCCGCACGACAGCAGGCTCGAGCCGTCCTGCGACTCGACCTGCTACCCCGGCTGGTGCGAGAACGAGTGGTGCTACGTCGACCCGGCCGCGTGCAACACCGAGTACAGCACGACCGCGTACGTGGTGGGCGCCACCCCGCACTACTTGTGCCGTGCGTGCGGCTTCAGCAACGAGTTCGAGAGCTGGTTCTACCAGCCGCCGATGCCGCCGCCACCGCCGCCGCCGCCGCCGCCCTTGCCGCCGCCCTCGCCTCCGCCGCCCTCGCGTCGCCGTCGCCGCCGCCCTCTCCGCCGCTCGTCTGCCCGTGCCTCACCGCCTACCCGGCCGGCGTCAACCTCGTGAGCGCCGAGGTGCATGTCGTCGCGGCGGACGGCGTGAGCCTCGCGTACCCCGGCACGTACTGCCTCCACGGGTGCGACCCGCACGACAGCAGGCTCGAGCCGTCCTGCGACTTCGACCTGCTACCCCGGCTGGTGCGAGCACAAGTGGTGCTACGTCGACTCGGCCGCCGTCCCACCCCGAGTACAGCACGACCGCGTACGTGGTGGGCGCCACCCCGCACTACTTGTGCCGTGCGTGCGGCTTCAGCAACGAGTTCGAGAGCTGGTTCTACCAGCCGCCGATGCCGCCGCCACCGCCGCCGCCGCCGCCCTTGCCGCCGCCCTCTCCTCCGCCGCCCTCGCGTCGCCGTCGCCGCCGCCCTCGCCGCCGCTCGTCTGCCCGTGCCTCACCGCCTACCCGGCCGGCGTCAGCCTCGTGAGCGGCGAGGTGCATGTCGTCGCGGCGGACGGCGTGAGCCTCGCGTACCCCGGCACGTACTGCCTCCACTGGTGCGACCCGCACGACAGCAGGCTCGAGCCGTCCTGCAACTCGCCACCGCAGCCGCAGCCACCGACCTCGCCTCCGCCGTCGCCGCCGTCCTTTCCATCTCCACCCTTTCCGTCCTCGCCACCGTTGTCCGCTCCATCACCGACGGTCCGCTCATTTCATCGACTTCTTGGGC